CTCAAAGTGGGGCTTTCCCTTCTCAACCAACCCAAACCTAAGCTGAAGAGTGTTCAATCTTCGGCGAAGAGTACCTGAAGACAAAGGCCAGAGCTTCTGTCCACGTGGCAAGCTTCCAAAAGCCAGGTCCAGGATGCGAATGATATCCGGAGGGTCAATGCGGGCAGACTGGTGCTTTGCAGCATGACCCCTTGTCTTTGGATTCCTTATCTGCAGTAGCGCAAAGGTGGTGCCTGGGGCAGCATCGCGGGGGAGGATCAAGTCAGAGCGCCGAGCTTCTGTGACCTCACCTGAGCGCAGTAAGCCTGCCCAGGACAACGCAAAGACGCCAGCCTCTGCTATCCAACCCCAAAGAAGGGCAGCAGAAAGGAGGGCCAACAAGACCCCTTTTGGTAGCGCTCTGTGGTGCTGGTGGGGCTCCTCAGAGAGCCAAGCGAAAGCAAGATTCCAAGAGGCGGCCAGGGACCTGCGAATTCCTGGCCTTGCTGCGGCCACACCATTAATCGTTTCAGAGTACTTGTTATATGCAGCGCCACTTCGAAACAAATGCTGCCCGTAGGAAACCAGGGTGTTTGCAATAATCTCAACCTGATCAAAGCCGACAGCCAAGAGATTCTCCAACGTGCTCCCACAACTACTTTTCAGCCAGAGGTCAAACTCTTGCAGCAGTTTAAGGCGGGTCGTCCTCGTGGCAGGCCGCATGATCCTATCAGCAACCAGAGTAAGCGAGACCCTTCTTTCAGCGCGGGCTTGATCAGCTGGCGTCCGAGGCGCAGGAGCATCCATGGCATGCACTACAGCAAAGAGAAACCAACCCCAAACCCAGCCCTCACCAGGAAACCTTAAGGTGCAGTCAAAGGCGGCTTGGGGGAAAAGTCCAACACAGAGAAAGTCCAAAGCAAGGTGGCAAATCCAGACACAGCTGTGAAGAAGAGAGCTCGAGCCTTGAGGAGAGGCGAGCGTGAGAAAAAGGCCTGAGAGAGGCAGGCAAGAAGAGGCTGGGGCACAGGGCCCTCGCCAGGAAAACCCAGAGTGTTGTCAAAGTCACGATGGCAGTCTGGGGTGTAAGGGCAGGCTTCGGTCCCGAACCGCCCAGAGACAGCATGACGCAGGAAGTCGGAAGGAGGGCCATCGATGACATGAAGCAGCAGAAAAAGCCGGACCCAGCCGGACTGAGGGCGAGAAAACCGCAACTCCCCCAGACCATGCAGGCATTGGGCAGGCAAGAGCTTATGCAGCGAGTGGAGGCAAGGCTTGCGCAGCTCAGCAAAGCGGGTCGGATCGTCTGCAATGTTCAACCTGGTAGGTGCGAAGCCAAGTGCGGGATACAACCCAAAGGCAAGCTGATGCGCAGCAATTCTGCGCAAGCCCGGGGAGAGAGCCTGGGACGTTGAACGTCCTTTCGCGGCTGCCGCCTTGGCGACTTGGGAATCGAGCAAAGCTACGAAACGCGAACCCGCCGAACTCCTTGCCAAATCACAAACTAGGGCTCCGTAGGAAGCAAGTTCAAGAACGTTGATATGACATTGAGAATGCCAAGGGATCACGGTGCACACCTGCCACGAAGCTGACATAAGGATGTCGTTGAACACAACACTCTCAAAGGCAGGCTTCGAAGGAGATGGGGTGGCGAAGAGCGCAAGCGCTTCAGCAAACGACTTTGCGAGTTCCCTAGCAAGGCCTTCGGTGTATACGGCTGACTGCTTCGCCCTTGCGCCCTGGATAGGGATATGATCATGGTCCCTCGAACAGGCTCGGCAGAGCCTGTCCTTCCGGATATGGCACCCCAAGAGCCTAAACTCTTTCCGGTGTGGGGAACCATACATACAAGACGCAAGATGCCACTCAGAGACCCCCAGCCTGCGGGCAACATTTCGCCACCAGCTAGTCCATGCGAGCTTGGAGCCACGCGGTTGCTCAAAGAGAGCCGGGCAACCAAATCTCAAGGCAAACAGGAAGAAAACCAAGCAGCGCTGAGCCAACGCATTGCCATGCATAACACGCGGATGGCGCCGGTCGATGCCCTCAGGCAGCCGGTAGGTGCGAAGGCAAGGATGAGCAGCTGGGCTGAAGGTGGTGCGGACCTTACCAGCTTTTAACATAGAGTAGAGCCAAACTCCAAAACCAGGCTCAAGGATGTCGAAATGCTGAGAGCTGGAAAGGCCAATGGGGGGGCCAACCCTAAGACCTAACTTTGCGGCTTCATGGGACACAACAGCGGAGCCCCCACAGATCTCCAGCAGGTCCAACACAAAAGGAAGGCTCTTACTCGGGAATTCGGGAGTCCACCAAGGTTCGGCATCCTCACTGAAAGCGTCCTGGCCGAGGGCATGGAGCAAAGCAGACCGCTCCGACGTCAAGCTTAGAGTAAGCACCCTTTCGATCCCCATTCAGCCAGAGGCTTCGAGAGAGAGCAGGACCGATGGGGGCTTTGCAGTAGGCCCCTCGCCCAAGAGAGGCGTCAGAGGCGTAGATGTCAGGCAGGTGAGGCGCAGTGACATCAGAGCAGGAGGCAAGGCACAGCTCCTGGGCAAGCGTGCGGCTCTGAGGGATGGCGTGCTGACGTTGCGGGCTTCCTTTTGCAAGAGAAGCAGGGAAAACTTCATTGAAGAGGCACATGCAGCATCTCCGGAACATCGCAACAGAGACCCAAGCTCCGGCAAGGCGCGACAGGAGAAGCTTCGAAGTACAAGACAGCTTTGCAGCTCGGAGGCTTAGGGCGGCAAGCGGAAGCCTTCGAGACAAAGGCGCTGCAGCAGGCACACAGCCACGAGAGACACAGGCAGGCCCTGAGTCTACTTCGGCCCCAATGGCCTGAAAAAGGTTTTGTCCAACAACGTCCTTCTCAGGGGACCCAATGACGCCTTCTTTGTCGTAGACAAGGGCCGCAGCACCATGCAAGTCACGAGCACGAGAAGGCCCAGGGATCGGCGCAAGCAGGGAGCACCTCAATGTTGACAAGATCGTCTATGACAAGGGCTTGCCAAGCCAGAGCAAGGGGAGGAGTAGATGCACCAAACAGCCTGAAAGCCGGGTGAAGTGCACAACCACTTTCCAACAACTGGCAGTGGCCCTCAAGAGCGAACTCAACACCAAGATGATCCCCCTGCAGCAGTGACTTGAAGGCAGGAACGTAACGGTCTGCCGTAAGCACTGAACGGAGAGAAGATTCGCCAGAGCAACCAAGAGGTGCAGGGGCGAAGGAGGCAACAAGATTGTCACCAGCAACCTCGCGCGCTTTCTTCCTATCAGCCCTATGCTTAGTCTCCAGAAGAAGCCTCTCCTCAAGGGCACGGGTACCAGCAAACGCCTCAGGTGGGTAGCTAAAAGGCAGCCGGTTGCTGTGGCAGCGGGATTCAGACACCATAACTTGATGGTAGAAATCTTTCCGGTCCGACACATAGGCAGTGGCCTGCTGCTTAAAGCGATCCAAGTGGAGTGCTGTCAAAAGATGCCCCTGCGGAAGGGACGCCGATGGTCCAGCGAGGTGCCGCTCAAACGCGTTGGGGTATCGGCGGTGTAGGGTTTCTCTTGTCCATCTGGGAGGCGTGGCAGCAGAGAAAGGAGTCCACGGGAGTCCCAAAGCAACGCTAACCTGAGGTTCTCGTCCGGGTCCTCAGTGGCGAGGTTTGGCATATCAGCCTCGGAGATCGGGAGGCCATGCCGCAACACAAGAGGGTTCCAAGAAGGTCGAAGTGATTTACAATCGGCCAAGCGCCGGTCCCCGTCAGCTTAAGGCGAGAGACGTCAAGGGACCGATAAGGCCGGAGCTGTGGCAAGTCAGGCGAGGGCCCCACGTCTGGAACAACAGAGGGCTTAAAGGGAGCAACACCACTGTAGTCACCAGACCCCAAGCCTTTTGCAAAGTGCTCGAGCTCAACAAGGCGTGCAAGAAGGTCTGGGCCAGATCTTCCAGGAGGAAGAGGAAACGAGTCCTCCCGGGAGGCACACGCAACCACGAAACCCCAGATACGGTCGTAACAGGCCCGGTGATGGGCGTTCGGGGTTCTCCACAGGCTATCCTGAGAGGGCCAAGGAAGAGGGTCCCCGGCACGGAGGCGAAATGAAAGAGGAGGCAATGTATGCCCCAAAAAGCGTTCGGGACCGAGCAAGCCACCTTGGTAAGGCAGCAGCCCAGGTCAGGAACGTAATCGTTGTGCTCATGGATCTTGAAACAGAGTCCAAGCGGCGGCAGCATGCAACTGGTCGGCATTGGCGACTAAAGGTCGCTGACTTGGAGCTTTCCGGTGGCCATCAAGGCGCTTGGAGGAACAACCGGTAGCTAAACTACATGGCCCCTCGGATGGAGGGACAACACGGGGAGACCCACGCCTAGGGTTTAGGTCTAGGGGAACCCTACCTAAGGTATTCCTAGGGGTCTGGGAAACCATAAACAGTGGCAGTGAAGGATGATCACAGCTTGTCACAGACGACAGGCAAGGCTCAGGCAGCAGGCCAGGAGGGGGCCGAAAACACAAGTTGTGGCGACAGGAGCCCCATTCCGGGCATACATGCGTAGCTTTTACTGCTGCTGCGGCGGTTGCTGCTGCTGTTGCCTCTTTCGAGGCGGGCGCTTTGGCTTTGGGGAAGGGTCTGTGGCGCCCTGGCTTGGAGGAGGAGGGGCCTTGGATGCCTTGACGAATTCTTGGCGGCGGCCCTGTATTGTGTCGAGTTCCTTCAAGTAGGACAACACAACTGTCACCCAGCGTTGGGACGCGAGTGGGGCAAAAGCCCGACTTTGAGCCCCTTGGCCTTGCCTTGCCACAAACATCCCCACAGGAGGTTCCTCTAGCAGGGTCAGGTGATAAGCAACATCCGTCCTGTTTGAATCGAGCAAGGTCTGTTCGAGAAAGACGGCCAGCAGCGCGATATGGTCTTTTGCCATGTCGACGCGATCGGCTTGCAAGGCATCGAAAGCAAGTGCGACCTGATGAGCAATTAGGGCATTGTCCCAACAGGATGACCATCCCCCGAACCTTTCCCAGTAGCGGGACAGTGAGTACCCCTGACGAAGGAGCGGGCCAAATTGGCCAACACTTGTGCTCCTCCTGCAGCTTTGCCCTCTGCGAGGCACCTCTGACGCCTACAGACCCAGTACCTGCGAAGTCGAGGAGAGGTTCGCCAGAGGCGGCTGCCAGAGGCGGCTGCCAACTGACTTACCAAGGAGGTGAGGGCCTGGGATTGAGCAAGCATCGCCTGGGCAAGCGGATCCTGCGACCTGTCCTCCGCCTGATCCTGAAGGTCCTGCAGCTCGTGCTCCTCAATGGCGAGGAGTTCTGGAGTGCGGGTAGGAGGCGGTGCTCCCAACACTGATTTGGCTGATGCCGGCAGCTTTGGCACTGCTCCCCAATTGTGGGTGGCTGAAGGCTGAGGGGCCGACGCAATGGGGCTGCGGCCCCCGCTGCAACCAACTCCGACAAATCTTGCTGACGGGCATCCATCTGCTCGATTCGGGCAGTCAAGGCTGGTAGGTTGCTACTGTGGGCGTCTTTGCCTTTGGCCCTGGATGCGTATCCAATCCTGGCGCGGCCTGACCAACCAGGGTCGTTGCCTTTGTGGCTGGCGCAGGGCCTTGCCTCGACACGCTTAACAAAGGTCGAGGAGGTGGGGTAGGATCGGCTTCCTCCGCACTGTAGAAAAAGTCACTCTGTCCATCTCCCTTGCTCCCGGCTCCGACACCCATTGCAAGGCAAGCTGATGCAAAGACTGGAGCTGAACCCCACGACCAGCTCGGGAGGACTTTCCCCATCGAAGGGGCTGAGGGACATCAGGCCCTCGGCTGACACATCGACCAAATTCAGAGACAAGGTGATTCCGGCCGGGACGGTTCCCGAGGCCGAATGCAAGGCGGCAGGGCACTCGACAAGATGCGTAGGACCCAGCAGGGCATCCATAGGAGCGACGAGGCCTGCAGCAACCTCCTCGTCGGCCAGCACTCCCACCGGGAGAGCCAAAGGAACCCATGCTCGCGGACAAGCACTACGGCAGCAAGAGACTCCACAATGCCATCGCCATCTGCGGAGGCGTGCTCGAAAACGTACAGCTGCTGTGACTCCAGGTAGAGGCGAAGATCCTCTAAGCTCGCAAGGGCCATTGCAACCCAGCGGCAGACACGTAGCCTGACACTCAAGCTCAGACGGGAAGCCGTGAGACACGGCAGGCGATTGTTCCAGAGGGCCCAGGGCCTCACGGTAAACG